TAGAATCAGCCCTTTTAACATCCTGCACCACCTTACTACTAAGTATGGTCCATGATCTAACAATGCCAACATCACTCGAGAGACTCAGAAATGTGGATTTTCCCCCCCTCAGCCAGATGTACTGAATTTGGTTTGATGTACTGTATTTTAGCAACGTGATGAGCTCTGAGCTGCTATGTTCTTTGTAAATCTTTTAAGGTAGGCACCTTATTTTGATTAGTGACTAGTTGTATGTGGATTAAGTGAGATAATGTGTGTAAGTTACCCTAAGTCTGTACAGTACTTCACAATGTTATTTACATGTACAGTTGTGAAACAGAAAGAGGCTGTTCCTGAGCTACCAAAACAATAGAAACTGAGAATTACTGGATTTCTCAAATTTCTTAATCTTTTAAAAGTGATATTTTTATTTATTCTTTGTAAACTTCACACATTAATATAGTGTATTTTGATCATATTCATCCATCAATGCCTCTCCTAAACTCCCCCTAATATCTCCCACCCAGTCTTATTTCTAACTTCATGTCTTTTTAAAAATGTATTTATTGATAATTTGTTATATGATTATTATACTTCATTCATTTTCCCTCCTTTCCCTTCCTCTAACTCAACCCATGCCCCCAATCCTCATAGCTTCTTATTCTTTATTATTGTTATACACATACATATACTTATTTGTTTGTTGTTTATAAACACAACTGATAAGTCCCCTTAGTGTGGTTCCCATGTATATGTGTCCCATGTATATGAGCTGATCACTTAGGATTGGCACTTGTCACTGGAAAAGACTGATTCTTCCTCTCTCAACAGCCATACATTGCTTGTAGCTCTTTATCTTGGTGTAGGGTCTTTTGAAATTTCCCCCATGCATGCTGGGATACTGACTGGTATTTTCCTTGTACAGGTCTTGTCTAGGCAACCATATTGTTGAGATTTCAAGGGTGCAGCCTCCTTGTCATATAGAAAGACACTCTCTCAGGAGATGGCCTGGTCCCCTCCTCATGCAGCATTTCTGTGCCCTCTTCTGTGATGTTCCCTGAACTTAGGTGCAGGGGTTGCATTGTAGATGTTGCTCATTTGGGGCTGAGCAACCCAGGATTAATTGATTTCTGCATTTTGACCAGTTGTGAATTTCTGTAATGCTCTCTGTCTGATGCAAAATTAGGCTTTTTTGATGAGGGATAAGAGCCATCCTTATCTGTGGCTATAATAATGCTTTTAGAAATTATACTCATTATTAGGTTTTTTAGGGTTCATGGCCTCCTCAGCCATGGGTAGTAGGCCAGGTTTATAGTACTAGGCATGAGTTCTCTCCTACTGAGTGGGCCTTAACATCAACTAGGATGGCTCTTGGCTACCCCCAGGATTTAAGTGCGGCAATTCCACGTTTCGGGATATATTGATGTTCTAGTCATTGTTGTGTTTTGGGAGTTTTTGACTAGGTTTACAGTACCAGAAATGAATTCCCTCCTATGGAACAGGCTTCAGATCCAATCAGAGAGCTGTGAGTTGCCACCACAACAGCTGAGTCAAATTGCAGCAGTAGGCATATCTTGTCTGGTAGGTGGCTATTGTAGTTCATAAGGTTTATAACTGGGTGAAAATACTGATGTCCTTCCTTCCAAGAAGCCTGAAAAGCACCTTTGAAGGTGAAGAGGACTCCCCCATAGAAAGCTTTAATCTTAGTCCCAGCTTGGTTTCTCTGTATCTTGTGACCAAGATGAGTGATATCTTCAGCAACAGGATCTTACCGTTTAATTCTGGTGTGCAACCAAGAGCGATGGGTGATCAGAGACTCTTCTGTGGGCTTCAGAAGACTCTGAACAATTCATAAGGAAGTATCACAAGCCTGGGTCCGGATTTTTATTTAATAACCCATGGCTCCTGGGAGCAGCATTAAAATGTGATCAGTGGAGAAGTTAATTACAGGAGTTGATTTTTAAAAAGTTTCATTGGATACATTGAATAAAACAGTTATATGTGGGGGCTGGAGAGGCGGCTCAATGGTTAAGACCACTTGCTGCTGCTCTTGCAGAAGACCCCATCAGGTAAGTCCCTTACCAACCATTTGGCAGTAGACAGTGGTCTGTGACTTCAGTTCAGAAGATCCAACACATTATACCCTAAAATAAAAATAAAGTTTTTTTTAAAGTTATGTGTAAAATAATCTTACTAAAAATTGCAGATTCATATACCAGTATCTATCCATAGGGTGAATATCAATTCTTCAAATGTGGAATCCAGAATTATTCCGTATTTTAGAGTTTTTTTAAATTGTGTTTTGCATAGTTGTTAAAGTTTTGAGGTTTTGGATTTTGGAGCACCTCTGATATAAATTTGATAACCTGTCCTGAGTAGAAGAGAATCACCTTTGCTGTGGAATTCTGTTTTGTTTTTGTCTGTACATTGGGAAAGACCTTTGATCCGTCTATCTCACAGTGTTTGGGGACACAATGTGAGGTCTAGAAAAAAGTACTGTGCATGTAGAAGTGTGACGTTAATATTTCACGTTATGCTACTTGTGAAAGAACCTTGCTGTTACAAAGTTAGGTAAACAGCTGGCCAGCTGAGCTGGGGCCCCAGTGACTCTGTCATGTTACAGTGTCTAGTCCTTTGTCCTTGCTTCAGGTATCAGGAAGTCAGTGTGAGATAGACATGTGTCATCTGCACAGGGCAGTCACTTGGCAGGACCACAGAAGATGTGGGTCTGTGTGCTGAGCGTCCGATGAATCCAGGATGAATTTCCAGTTGTAGAATAAAACTGATACACAGAGAAGCTGAGAGAGGAAGAGAAGCCCTGGGAGCTGGACTTCTTTCTGTGTCTGCTGTCCTGCCTGTTACAGGAAAGGATGACCACAGTAGAAGAGATGCCTGCTGCATCTTGAGGGGCAGATGCCCTATACCCTAGGGGCCTGTGATTGATGAATCCAGAAAGCAGTACCAGGCTTGTCATAGCCTCACATTTACTTTCATAGTCCTTTGCATTCACATTCAATACATGCTGTCTTGTCTACTCAAGCGTTAATGCTGAGGGCTGGAGTAAACATGTGCATATGACATACTTTTCCCTTGGTAACTTTCAGTTAATTATGGACGTAACTTTATCAGAGATAAGAGTAGTAAATAACATTGTACTGAACTTCGAAATAGATTTTATGCTATGCCCACACTTTCCAAACATGTTTATATATGTGTATTTAAAATAAATCTATATTTATATCTATATCCCACGGGGGGAAAAGATCAGAAACATGCTGCAATTTAAACATATTAATGCTAATGAGAATTTAAGTTGTTTTTGTTTTCATTCTTTTCTATGTTTTCTAGATCTTCTTCAAGGAACATATATTGTCTGTATGGTATAAAAATATAACAACTTGCTAAGCTTTTGAAGCTGTCATAGTATTTTTATACACTCCACCTCATTTGATCTTCATTTTTGCCCTGTCTTAGTTTTCTATTGCTGTTAAGAGACACCAAGGCAACTTATAAAAGAACGTATTAAATCGGGGCTTGTTTACAGTTTCAGGGTGAGTCTTTGACAATCAAGGAGGGAAGCATGGTGGCAGGCAGGCAGGCAGGCAGGCATGGTGCTGGCGCAGTAGCTAAGAGTTTACATCATGATCCACAAACTGGAGGCAGACAGACGGGGGAGGTGGGATTGAGAGAGAATGGGCATGGTGTAAGCGTCTGAAACCTCAAATCTCCAATGACATAGCTTCTCCAATCAAGCCACACCTGCCTCCTCGTCCTTTCCCAAACAGCTTCATCAACCAGGAACCAAGCATTCAAATATATGTGCTTACAGAAGGCATTCTCATTCCAACCACCACACCCCCCATAATAATACGCATCAATGGTATAGATAAGAGAAATGAAGGAAATAGACAGAGACAACTCAGAGCCCCCAGGAAATCAAGGACAGCAAGATGAAAGAGTGGGGATAGTGTTAGATCAATAGCAGATGAAAACCTAAAACAGAGCAAAACTCTCAAAAGAAAGAAGGTGGACAGTGCTTAAATGAAGAGGAAATTCAGAGACTTTTAAAATTTACCTCCATGAAGTGGCCCTTTTCTTCAGGTCAGTTTTATCAGACTCACATGGGATTGCATGTCCCCAGGGGAACCACACAGTCTCTATTTGATTGCAGTTTAAGTACTACTGAGCTATATGACCTACGAAGATTATATTTACCTACTGGAAAAAAAAAAGACAAATGTCAGTAGGTGTTGTAAGGATTAAATGAGTTACTAAGCATAAGTAGCACGCCAATGAGTTAGATACAGATGGGCCTAACAAACATTAGCTGCCAGAAACTAACCATTTTCATCCGTGTGGCCCAGGAATGACAAGCAGGGAGCTGAGTCATAAGAACAATATAGATATATCGAATAGTTCTACAGAGTTGATGGCTGACAACGGATGAGGGAACCAAAACAGTGGTAACGTTAATAGGAAAATATGAGGATGTTGACTCTGATATTGTTGGGTGGTTCAGCCCTCTGTTTCAATTCAAATCAATCCATCATTGGTTATTGTGGGTTTTGGAATTTGTGTGAATACTTAGGTTTTTAAATTTGTATGTTTTTATAAGGCAAATAGTTGCCATCAAAAAAAGAATGGCTTGTCCTAGAAATCTGAACTACAAGTTGGGAGGTGGAAGATAACACAGGGCTTCCTCTGAACCTTCGTGCTCAACTGAAGTATGTCAGGGAACCTTGGTCAAGGAATAAGGAAAGTGGCTTTGTACATATTGAGGCCTAGGAGTTCCGGGGTAGATTGTACCAACTGTTAGCTATGTTTTTCCATAAGTGGGATGGATAATTTGCATCTGGTCCTGGAGGCACAGCTGTTGAGGTTGATATGTTGCAGGAATATAGCCGAGTGACCAGCAGAATATATAAATCTCCAGGTGTAAGAGAGAACTCCATTCCAGAGAGCCTATTGTTTTAACAGTTCTAAAGCATGTAACATGTGTTTCTTTGGGTTTCTTTTTCCAGACCCCTTGGCTGTGGAATACGAGACACTGCTGGTATAACTACCCCTACCAGGTAAGGAGATCTGACTTCTGGGGTTTACAGCTGTAAGGGATTTTACTTAGATCATCACCCTGCAACAGGTTGAGCAGCTATTCACACTTTCTAATTGCACCTGCTTGTTAGTGTCAGCCCCAACCTAGAGAAGACAAGGCTGTGTCTGAATGAAGGGCAGAATCAAAGTCTGTTTACTTTAGCAGGTGGAGTGAATGTGGCAGGTTTTTTTGTTGGAGAGCAGGATGTCGTCACTTCAGTGGGTGGCAGGTTCCTGTTTCTCAGGACAGAGGAAAGTCTGAAGACCTGCTGACAGTGCAGGCTTGCCTCCACAGCAAACATGAGCGTTCAAGTGTGGCACTGGAGCTGGCCTGCTGAGTTCTGTTGACGTTTTACCTTAGAAGTGGCCTCTAAATACGTGAACCAAGCACCATTTCTCCAAATGCAGAAAAATGCACTAATGACATTATACCTGGATGAATCGTTTCTGTAACTAAGAAGGAGACACTGTCTTTGACGGTTGAAATTAAACCATAGCCCTGAAAGGGGGGTGTTTTCCATCTCTGCCCACTGTTGCACATTTGCATCTCCTAGTGAATACAGTATATGAATTCAGTATTAGCACAAGTCCTTGCCATCCCTAGATCAATTAACTTTGATTAAATCAAAATTTTAAAAAATATCAAAGCTGGAACTAGGAATTTTCTATTTTGTCAAGATATGTCCTAGAAGAGAAGCAAATGGAACTGGGAACTGTAATAAGCACCTTCCGCTTTTAAGCTTGGTATTGCATTTCAGAGACATTAGGACTTCCTGTGTGTGCACAGGTTAATGGGATACACGTAGTCCATTTCTTCAGTGTTGCCCACAGTGCTGGCACTGGTAGAGGCGGACACTGGATACTCATTCAAGGCTAAAGACACGTTGAAATGGAATTCCAGTTTACATTTGAATTCCTTAATTTGTTTAGATTAGGAAAGAATCTACGTAGGCAGCATGATATAACTATAGAAAGCTGAGAGTTCCTGAGATAACTGGTAGAGACTGAGGCAAGGTAGAAACCAGTTGCTTACCTTACACAGTTGTCTCAGACCCAACAGCACTTTGCTTTCCACACATACCTATGTTTCTACTTACAAAGGGGTATTAAAGGCTGCTGGAAACACCAATTGGAGAGTTGGCATGGCAGCTGCTACAATGCCCTTCACTTAAAAGGTAAATTCTGCAACATGAAAGGCATTGAGACAAATGTCATATAAAGTGTAACACTTGCCAGACGGTGGTGGCGCACACCTTTAATCCCAGCACTCGGGAGGCAGAGGCAGGCGGATCTCTGTGAGTTCGAGGCCGGGCTGGACCGACGCCCCCTGAAACAATAGAGAGAAACCCTGTCTCGTAAAAACCAAAAAAAAAAAAAAAAAGTGTAACACTTAACCTTGTTTTAAACTGTAATTTAGCCCAACATAATTCTCACATTCTAACTGTATGTAGCGTGAGGTTGCTTGGTTTGAGATGAATGTGTAGGACTGTGAACCAGAATGCCGCTGAGAGTTGTCTCACAGACTGCGCGCCGTAGATTTAGCATGAAAGTCTGAGTGGCTAGGAGAGAAGGTTATATTTAAAAGTAGAAAATAGCATTAGGATGGAAAGAAAGATACCCCATCTGTGGGGATTTGGGTCAAGAATTGTCTTCTACTGGTAAAACTAATACTGAGTAACTGAGCTCAGTGCTCCCCAAGTCTTAGATGTTTTCATGATCTCTTATGGCCACAGTGGTTATCTTTGACAAGTGCCGTATCCTAATAGAAATTAATGACTTTCTTTGTGTAGGGAGAGTAGAAAATTAAATAGTGTGTATGCAAGTCTAATGTTTTTCATACAGTCATATGTATGTAAATATATATAGTCGATTACAGTTCAGAGTCTATTTCAAGCCTTCAGTGCACTCTTAAAGGTTGAACATGCCCATGAAACATTTATTATGTCTTTAACACATATATTACATAAGTAGCTGAATAGATTTTTAGGTGAAAAGTAGTAGTCTACTTCAATTTTAAACACACATTCCCTCTTTTATGTGAGCATGCTTATTTGCTACACATGTAATAGTTCCATATGGATGTGTATTTTAAAGCTTAAAGAAAGACGAGGTTTATATGCAGTTGGCCCTTGTACAGCTCGTTACATAAGAAGCAGATACTGGGCAGGAGAAGCCTCAGTGTAGTGGTCAGGGGCCTCACTAGCTATGAGACCTGGATGTGACCTCGAAGTCTCAGTTAATTGATAGCAGTTTTCTGCTGACTCTGTAATCTGCATGCAGAATGAGAGGAGTAATTTTGCAGATTTTAGGATGCTCAGAGGGAGTTATGCGTATGTGTGGGTGTGTGCATGTGTGCGTGTGCGTGCGTGCGTGCGTGCATGCGTGTGTGTGTGTGTGTGTGTGTGTGTGTGTGTGTGTGTGTGTTTCTCACCAGCTGTAGAGCGTCTGCTGAGTGCTGATGACTGTGGTACTCTCACATGGACTCAGCAGTGCCAGATGTGACCTAACATGTCCTGTGATGCCTCTGAGGCATTTTCTCAGATAATGCTGGGAGGCAGAGAATCTCATCAATGCCAGAATCTGACCTTGACTGAGAGGCTCCAGCCAGGGCCCTATTTTCCCAGACTGCATTGCTGACAGCATCTGAAAAGCATGTCGGAGGGCAATAGATTTCTTTCAAGGTACCTCTGAGCGCTGATGCTTCTTTCATCCCACAAGAAGAAACGGTACTCCGCTCATGAGAGCCACCCTCTCGACCTGAATACTGCCTAACAGTCCGTCCTGCAAACTCCATTACATTGGATATCAGGCTTCATCAACACATGGGACTGCAAAGATTCCAGCATTCTTTGTCACTTAGAGTTCATAACTGGCGATCTAATATCTTATAGTGTACCTCATCAGAAATATGAGAGAGACATAGTTTTCCTTGATGCCTGTGCTGAATGAATAAGGGCCATCTTGTGGCAGTCATCCATTATGCCGTGATTGGCATATGGTGCATATAACATTAATTTCCTTTACAGTACAGACTGTTGCCTTCTGAACATCAGTGAGAATATGTTCAAAGAGTTTCAGAGATTGTTTTCTTTCCAATAAACCAAGACACTTCAATACAGCTCAGAAAGTTTAAAAAGCTAAACATAGCTTATCATGTTATTGAAAAACACTTTCTTTGTGTGTGTGTGTGTGCGCGCGAGCGTGCGCGCACTGGGACATGTGCCACATTGCCTAAGGAATCTTGTAGCTGCTGTATGTGAAAGAACCATAGATGCTGTTATTACACTCAAAAATGAATAGGATCCCAAACTGTCATGCTGGCTAATGCTTTCTAGGTTTGAGATGAAATGAAATTAATGACATCAGGCTGTGTGGTCTACAGCCAAGAGTGCCATTGTCTGCCAAGAAAGGGATGGGAATTGCACGTGTTCAGCCTAAGACTGGGTTACCAGTCGGCAGTGAGCTTGTGGCATTAGGGATACAAAGTGTGTTTCCTATTAACTGTTAATCATCCCTCTTTTCTCCTTCTCCCCTCAGCCGCTCACTGCTGACCTTCACTACTATTATATCCTGGAGCTGTCATTTTACTGGTCTTTAATGGTTTCCCAGTTCACAGATATCAAAAGGAAGGTAAGAGTTGTGATGTCATATGGGTCTTGACTTAAGGGTCCTCACCATGTGGGTGGAGAGTCTCGAAGGCATCACCTGAGTTCGGAGAGCTCTCCATTAGCCATAGTCCCCACATTGTTACAGGAATTCATATCTGTAAGGTGGGGATGGAAAACCACAAGTTTAAGGTGAACCTTGGCTATATAGTGAGGGTGAGAGTCTGAGGCCAGCCTGGGCTACAGAATATGCTATCTCTGAATACACACACTTGTTCTTAGACATACATGCATATATGTATGATTACTGTGTGTGTGTGAAAATACCAGCAAAGCCTTTATCTTCTCCAAATTAAATAAAAAGAAATTTTTATGTGTAGCTTCAGAAAAAGAGTGTGAAGTCTCAATATTTCCACATGCAAAATGAGTTCTCCAGTTAAAGAATTATCTAGATTAATGGTTCTCAACCTTCCTAATGATGAGACCCTTTAATACAGTTCCTCATGTTGTGGTGACCCCAACCATAAAACTATGTTCGTTGCTACTTCATAACTGTAATTTTGCTACTGTTATGAGTCGTAATATAAATATTTTTGGAGCTAGAGGTTTGCCAAACGGTCATGGCCCAAGCTCCCAGAGTTCAGTCAAAGAGAGGGAGGAGCTATAATATGAGCAAAGGGGTCAAGACCACAATGGGGAAACCCAAAGAAACAGCTGACCTGACTTAGTGGGAGCTCATGGACTCTTGACTGACATCTGGGGAACCTGCATGGGACCCAACTAGGCCCTCTGAATATGGTAGACAGTTAGTGGCTTGGGCAGTTTATGGGGCACCTGGCAGTGGGACCAGAATTTATCCCTAGTGCATGAACTGGCTATTTGGAGTCCATTCTCTATGGAGAGATACCTTGCTCAGCCTAGATACAGGGGGGACAGCCTTGGTCCTGCCTCAAGTGATGTGACAGACTGTGTTGACTCCCCATGGGAGGCTTTGCCCTCTCTGAGGATGGGAGATGGGGTGGTAGGGATGAGAGGAGGGAAGGGAGGTGAGAGAGGGGGAACTAGAATTGGTATGTAAAATTTAAAAAGAAAGGTTGTTTTAAAAACTAGATGTTTAAAATAAGATCACGGCCCACAGGTTGAGAACCCGATCTAGTGTCAAACAGTAGCACAGAAACAACTTTCCAAAATTATTGTGTTCTGCTTTTGCCCCTCCGTTCCACTGGAGTTGCTTTTACTGAGAAACTGTCCCCATGAAATTCCAAGAATCACATCCATTCATTCCGGTCCCATCCTTCCAGTCCCTGGGCAGGATACTTACAGTGTCCACTGTTCACTTTCTCTGTGATGCCATTTTCTCAAAATTCCCATACTTCTATCGATTCCTCAAAGTCGTCTTGCTGGCATCCATCTAAATGGAAAGGAGAAAGGCAGGTTATTACACTTTAGACATTTATCTTTTAGTATTTATTGTGTGTGTGTGTGTATGTGTGTGTACACGCATGTACGTGTACGCCTATGTGTGTGTATATGCATATGGGTGCAGGTGTCCTCAAGAGTGGGACTCTTTCTCTTTCCAGCAGCAGTCATGTGCTTGGCTAGAAAAAAGCAAAACCTGTCTCCCCTGACTTTTATCGGTACATATCCTCTAATCATCAGAAATGTATGGGCCCATCAAAACTCAGCTTAGGCATAGTGGGTGACTCATTGGCACCCACATTGTGCCTCCCATACTCATTTTGCTAAGCACTCTAGAAACATTTAAGGAATCTTCAGTGATGACATGCCGACTGGATCTCCTCTGTCACGGGAAGAGCGGTCCTTACTCTGGTAGTCAGAACATGCAGACGGATGATCTCCTCTGAGCCAGCTTCCAGATTAAGCTCATTTTGTGCTTGCCTTTCCAGTAACTCATTTGTCCTGGTAGTCACATAAGTCACACTTACATAGCCCAGAGATGCAAAACATTCTTTCTTTTGCATATTTATTTTCCAACGTGAGAACATTAATGCTGAGTGAATCAGCATAAATCTCTCAAGGACATGCAGTGTGGGAATGAATTAGAGCCTGGGGTTGCCAAGCAAGGTTGAGATTCACTCTTGGATTAGACACATTCCCAATGCCTGCCTTGCCCTTCCATGCCCTTGGCATGAGCTTCTCACAGCCTCTTCCTCCTGTTGTGCTCCCCTGTTTTATTGAATCTTCCTTTGCCTAATGAGAGTTAGGAGTGATATCTACAGTTAGCTACATTCATTGGAGAGGGTTAACTGTCTTTTGCTTCCAAGTCCTGGAAGACATATTCCAAAAGGTCACCGAGCCCCCTCTACTTGCTTGAGTTTTTGCATTGTTTATATAACCTGTCTTTTCAGTGAGCAGGTATATTCAGGCAAACTCTGTTGTAAGTCAGATAGGTATTATCTCCACCATTTTCAGAGGCAGATTACTTTCAGACATTGACATATATAGCTCTTTTATATCTTGTAGTGTATTTAAAACATCAGGTGAGAAACACTTAAGAAAGCGATAATTTGACCACGAGGTCTGAGGAGTTAAGCCTAGGCCTGAGTACTGTCCGTGTTTAGAACTTGATGTTATGTTGGGTTGCCCCCCCCCCAAGCTATTAAAATGCTTGGCACCTCTCTCCTCGTTTGGTCAGAGTAGTTTTGTATATTCCTGGCACAGCTGGTTTATCCTGGTTTCTACACAAAATGGGCATTTGGCCACCGCCAGACCTGTTTATTAGTTGGCACAGGTGTTAATATGGAAACTGTTTCCCTCTGCTGCTGTCTGCCATTAGACACTTGTAGCTCCCATCTGCCCCTTCACCTCTCTGACTGCCCCCTGTGAGTCAACAACTCTGACATCATCACACTCCCACTAGGAGGACCTGCTGTCCCACCATTGGTGACACACCCTCCACCGTCCATGTGGCTGTCTGAAATCACTCTGCCTTCCTAATCTGAGAAGGGACCTGTTGAAGTCCTGAGGGCATGGGGGGGTGGTGAAAGCAGTTTTGGGAAGCTGGCTGTGTGTGAGGTCCTCAAAAGTGATTAGCAACACTCTGACCCTCCTGTTAAATTACAGCCAGCCAAATGGTCATTTCAAAGACCAGGGCTTACAAAACAAGAGTTGTGATGCAGACTCTTTGAATCAGTATCTTAAACACAGTTTATAAATCATTTCTTCTCTCTCCCTCTCCCTCTCTCCCTCTCCCTCCCTCCCCCCCTCTCTCTCCCTCTCTTCTTTTGTTGTTTGAACCCCACCCCCTAAGTGCTAAGATTACAGGCTTTAGCCATCATGTTCAGTTTTTTTTCCACTGAGTCATTTTATGACTCTTTCTAAAATGATCCTGATATTCAAATGGCCATTGTTTTTTCCTCCCCACCAAGAATCTAGAGATTAAAAATGAAGGGAGAACCTTTCATCCCTTCTGTGTATTGAGAAAGACTCTGACCTCTTGATCATTTCCAACATTAGTACTTATTTGATCAGTCAGGAAAACTATGACTCTTACCAGAAGGAAGGCTCTGGCAAGCATAAAGTGGACTTGGAATGTAAATGTATGCTACAAAAAATAGTGGAAACCTTGAAGATTTTTTCCCTTCCTTTTTTTCCTTATATTTTTCTTTTGTCATAAAGTAGTTAAGATACCATCAAAAGTATCGAGCATTCTCTTGGTTCACAACACTGGAAGACCTTACTTTGCTCAAGGCTCGCTGTCTGTTCTGGTTCTGTGCCCCGGCACCTGTTCTCAGAGAGCATTTTTCTGCACGTCTACATTTTCTGAGGCGAGCTAATATATGCTCTGTTCACTTCAGAACAGCCTGCTCGTGTCTAAACCATGTGTCCCTTTTAATGGAGCTGTTGTTTGGCTCAGAGACCTGGGCCTTTGGCCAGTGGGTCCTGCTCATGTTCAGGCACACATCCTTGGCGCAGCTCCAAATCCCAGCTGGTGCTATCAACCTGCTGCTTTCTCTTGTTCTGGGAGGAACACTACATCTTGTCAAACAATGTTGACAGTGAGAGATTTGGTGATGAAATATACGAAAGGGAAAAATTAGCGACTGGCTTGTTCAGCTCTCTTGTAACTTTTTACAGAAGCTAACTTGGGTCCACTGTTGTGGGGCTTTAGCTCTCTTATAGAGGCTACCCGTGTTCCAGAGCTTTCCTTCAGAGTAAAAGGAAATGCATGATTTAATCTTCCTACAGAGACCCACTATGCCGTAGATGGAATTGAAGCAATACACACTCAATTAACACTGTATTTGACAGATAAAAATAACAACAGTATCTGGAATATAATAACCAAAATTTGGCTGACTCTAAGCCAAGAACTAAAACAACCCGAACTAGTGTTCACAGATTTAATTTTTCAATCAGTCAGAATTCACACAGCTAATCATAAAAAAGGAGGAGCATAATGTAAACAGTTCTTTCCTTTTCCAAATGAAGTTTGAAAAGCAGCTGCCATTAATTCTTAGGGAGATAGTAGGGAAAGGCCATTTTACAGTAAACGGTGATCCTTCAAATTCACCATCGTGAGATAGTCTTATTTTTCTCATTTGTCTGGACTAGAGAAAACATTCAGGGCAGTATAACTTAGAATGAGAGTCAAGGACTCTAATAAGAGTCCCTCACCTATCCAGCACCATTCCCAGTGTAACCTTGACATTACTTTGCCTCTCTGTGTCTTGCTTTTCTGAGCCAAGAAAGGACGTCTTAGAACCTGTCCTGGGGGAATGTAAGCATAAATAAGCAATACCCAAAACAGGACTGGTGTCTGGCACACGGCAAATGCTCAGCTCACGTTAGCTTTCCTGCAGCGCCTGTGTTGCCAGTTGAATCCCTTCAGGCATGTCTGGAGTCCTACCCCCACCACACACACACAGCCTTGACGGGTAGCCTGTGAACATGATTCATTTCTATTGCTCCTACACTAGTTAGTTGCTGTGGTGAGACCCTAAGGTGGGTTCACTTTCCTTCTTGCATGGTGTTTGGCACAATTTGAGATGGGTCTGCTCTGTG